GGCGCCGTCTCACGCCCGGCCCCCTGGGAGGGTGCTGGCGGCTGCTCGGCGGCTGGGCAGATGTGTCAGACCACAGGGCCTGCCCTGCTCCCACTCTGAGTCACCTCAGGCACCCCGCCACCTGGCCCTGCCCGAGCGGGAGGTGCCCTGGCCTGGGAGAGCCTCTGCCCTCACCCCCATCTAGCAGCCGTTGCCACAGCCGCAGCCGCTCCAGCACGGTGGTGAAACTACACCCTGCGGCCCAGGCCTGACCGAGCTGGGGGGTGGGGGGCCGGGGGCGAGGGGGCCTGGGTGCTTTTAGGGCTCTCTTGGGCCTTGTAATGTACAAACACGCTGGTCTAAGAAAGAGGAAGAGTAACAGGCGTGAAAGGAAAGCTGAGAAAGCATGACCAGCCAAGTCTGCTTCGCAGCAGTCGGGCCAAAGCCCGTGGGCCAGGGGACTGGCGCCCGGAACCGCAGCGCGGGTCATGCTCGGGTCTGTCGGAACCGAACCACGGCGACGTCTGTGCTGCAACGCCCTGGGGTCCCCACACAGGACCCCCGCCCCTGTGACGATGAGCCCACGGCCTGTAGCACACCTAAGCCGGGAGACGTCAACACCCACAGGAGCTGGGCAGCCGGGGGTGCCAGAGCCCCCCGTCCCCAGGACGGCCGCCTACCCTGGGCGTCCAGCCGCTTGTCGGCGTAGACCTTGTAGGTGAAGGCGTGCCGCAGGGCCAGGGCTGCGAAGAACATCTCCACGCAGATGATGAAGTCCTGGTAGCCGGCGGCCACGGTGCCCTCACCCACCGACACGCGGGCCGAGTGGATCTTGGGGATGGCCCCGCACTTCTCCAGGATGGCCAGGAGCATGCCTGGAGGGAGAGGCCCAGACTAGACCCCTCCGCCATGCTGCCACACGCCCGGGGCGAGGGGCGCAAGGCCCGGTCTCTCCGGAGGGCAGGGGTGTGGGCACGAAGCCAAGGCTCAGGGAGACACGCGCCCAGCTCCTGCTGGCCACCAACGCCGAGTCCACATGACACGGCGTCCCTGGCTCCCCAGCCATGAGGCGGCCCCCCAGAGTGCTCCTGAGGCTCACACCTCCCACGCACCCCGACGGCCACACCTCCCGTGGCTGGAGGCCCCTGGACGGCCGGGAGCTGGGGCCTCAGGGCACGGGGGACCGCGGGGGCGCTGGGGGATGAGGCCAACCTTGCCAGAAGGAGAGGAAGATGACAGACTTCACCATGAAGAACTTGAGGACGGGGCTGTAGGCGCTCAGCAACTCGCGGGTGGCAAAGTAGAAGAGGAAGAGGGCGTAGAGGGCCAGGCTGACGGAGATGTTGTAGATGATGGTCACGTAGAGGTAGCCGCTGGTGACGCTGCGGGAGGGGGGGGGCTCTGGCTCGGGCAGACCCTTGGCAGGACAAGGGCCCCGCCCTCTCGCCGACCCCCAGGGTCCTGAGCCCTGGCCCTGGGCGAGGCTCCAGGCCTCGGCAGAGGGCACGAGCGCCAGGGCCAGGACCCGAGGGCTCGACGAGGGCTCCCGCCTCGGAGCGGCCGGCCGGCGCCTCCGAGCAGACGCAGCCGAGCCTGCAGGGCACCGCCGGGGCTGCGCTGGTCGGGCCCGGCCTGGCCGGTCTCGCCTGACGGCAGGGAGCCGCGAGCTCGGGCTGCTCTTCCCGTGAGCCCAGGAGGCCCCTTTGCGCCTTGATGCTCGCCTGCCCCTCAGAGCGGCCAGGGGACACGGGCCTCTCTCACTGGCCCCTGGGAGGTGGCGACCCCTGCAGAGGAGGGCGTTCTACTCTGGGACTTGGGGCTCAACCTCTCCCGCTGTCTTGGGAGTGGTCACAGCCAGTCTTGGCCCCTGGACAGCGCCCACGGCCCAGTCACAGAGGCGAGGGATGCTAAGGGCTTCCCCTGCGGCAGCGGCCAGGCCACGCCGGCCTCCAGGCAGAAGAGGTCATGAGTGCTGGGCTGACCTGCTGCCCCTTCTCTGCGGCGCGCCACCCCCCCCCGCCCCCGCTCAGGGGGCCGCTGCTTACTCGAAGTCACCGTCCCGGTACTTGCCGAAGGCCTGGAGGACCACGGTGCTGACAGCCATGAGCGGCTTCACCACGCAGAACTGCAGGGTGGCCTGTGGGGCAGGGCGGGGGGCGAGGATGAGCGGCCCCTCCGGCAGCCAGGCCTTGCTGGGCCGGGAGGGGTGGGAGGAGGCCCCGCGTCCGGCCGGGGCCGTGGCCTGGAGGGGAGGCAGTGGCCGTGCGATGCCGCTGCTGGTGAGGACAGAGGCTGTGCGGGCCAGACAGATGGGGCGCGCGGGGGACACCGTCAGAGGCGGCCGCTCAGGGCCCGGGTCAGCAGGAGCGTGCCGTGGAAACGGGGTGAGGGGCGCCGCTCACACCGAGGTGGCAGCGGGGTGCTGGTGGGGGCAGCGGCGGGGAGAGGATGGGGGGAGATGGGGCAGCCGGGCCAGGAGAGACTTGGGCACGGGTGGGAGGGCCCCGCTGGCCTCACGGCCCACTGCAGGCCCAGCTGCGAGCTGAGGGCACAGGCGACAAGGCCGAGGCCCTACGGGGGGCCCACGGGAGCGGGAAGCAGCCTGGCCACTCCGACAGGGGGAAGCAGGAGTGAACTCCGCCCCTCCCCGGGGATGGACTGACCCGCCCGCCTCACAGGGAGCAGGAGCGCAAGCAGCTTCTCCCCGAGGTACCCCCACATCTGTGCATTCGAGAAAGGGCTCTGAAAGGCCTCAGGAGCCGGGGTGCTACAGTTCCCAGAGGCCCAGCAAGGGGTACTCGGTGCCCATAAAACCACCAGAATCGCCATTCCTTGGGCTCCAGTGAACCTCAGCCTTCAGGCCCGGGGGTGGGGGGCAAGTCTTCAACGGCCTGAAGCCCAGGTTTCTGCCAGACTGGGGAGCAGAGAGGATCGCGGAAGCCGGGCAGCCAAGCTGCGTGAGGCTGGGGCGGGGTGCTGCGTCATGGGGCCCACAGACGCCCAGCCCCGCGCCCCAACTCGCAGAAGCGAGAGCAGCACCCTCGGGCAGACAGGAGCAGCCGCACCGAGGGAGCGCGGCAGGCGGCAGGCGGCAGGCGGGTGCGGTCACGCCAGGCCCCGGAGCAGCTGAGCCCGCGCAGGTGAGAGGTACCAGCAGGATCTGGCGGCAGCGGGAGGGAGGGGCAGCGGCTTCTTCTGTTCTCTTTCTTTTGACAACCTCTGGGGAGTCACTGTGACGAGGCCCCGACAAGGCCGGAGACCAGGAGACCACACACCGAGGCCCTGCCCTCGGCACAGAGCAGGGCGCCATCATCAAGGAGACTGAGTCACCGGCCTGGTCAACTCTGCTGAGCCCCCACCCTGAGCCAGGCGCTTTACCCTCTCCCTGCAGGTCCAGACACTGGGACTGAGGAAAACCCAGGGAGACTGCCCGTGGCGGAGCAGAGGCCAGCCCTCCGGGGAGCACAGGGTTCTCTGTGGCGGCACCCCGCCTCCCGCTCATGACTACACCAGCAATGCAGAGGGGCTGACAGAGGCCCGGCGGAACCCTGGAGAGACCAAGTCGAGGGCAAGCAGGCTGGCGTGGCGCCGTACTCCCCCGGGACAGCACAGGGGTCTCGCGCCAGGCTGCGGCCTGCTTTATGTCCTCTCCCTCGCCTGCTCCTAAACAACGAACCACGCTGCGCCCATTTTATACAAGAGGAAACGGGCTCAGAGAGGCTAAGGGACTTGTCCAAGGTCACACCGAGGAGAAAGGTCAGACTCAGAAGGCCAGGCCCCCAGGCCACTCACTTAACCCCAGTCCGCCTACACCCAGCCTGCCCGGCTGAAACTGGAAGGCACTGGACTGCCCAACGGGAAACGGGGGGTGACCGGACCCTGCACAGGCCCATTCCATCCTGTCTTCAATGCAGAACTCTCCCGGGCTCCAGCCACAGCTGATGAGAAGTTTCCAGACTGAGATTCTAGAATCCTCCACGCTCCACTCATGTACACTAAGACTTGGTCAAACTGAGCGAGGGCTGGACCGGCTCCTGCCTCAGAGACTCCAGGCCCTCAGAGCGCACCCTGTGGTGCCGGTGCGTCCCTGCAATTTGGGGAACGGCTGCTGGGGCTTGGGGTGCCTGATGGGAAAAGGAACTCAACAGGGCCCGGGCAGCTGCAGCAAGCCCGCCCTGTGAGCCGGCGCAGGTGGGCGGCAGGCTCCGGGCGGGCACCTGCTGGGGCACACACCTGCTTGCAGAAGCGCAGGAACCCGATGGAGTAGGTCTTTCCCCAGAGGCAGCACGTGCCGTACACACAGCTGGACCTGGAAGAGGCAGGAGAAGGCGCCCGTGAGCAGGGAAGCAGGCTCAGGGGGGTGCATGCGGGAGGCTCGGGAGGCGCGGGAGGCAGCCAGGGTGGCCAAGGGGGAGACGCAGGGGCGTGTGGGCACAAGGGCGGGGCCCGAGGGAGCAGGGCTGCACTGGCCGGGGCAGCGAACCAACGTGACAAACACTGACTGCGAGCTGCTAACTAGAGGAACAAAGAGGAAGAACCAGGAAGGGCAGGAGGGCGAGGGAGCCGGGGCGGCCCGGAGCCCAAGGTCCTGGGCGGAGATGGCCCGGGGTCCGGGGGTCCGGCTGATACCAGGACAGCTTGAAGAAGGGCAGGCCCGGGCGCGGGGGAGGGGCCCCAGGGAGAAGGTACTCACTCGATGGGCTTCCCTCTGATCTCTGCCATGATGGCACTCTCTCCCCCGAGGTATTCATAGCAGAGGCTCAGGAAATTATAGATGACCAGGGCTGTGAAGAGAGTCCACAGAAAGCCACTCGCGTCAACAGGAAGGTGGACTCGCGGATGCGACGACAGGGCGAGAGCCACACACGCCCACAACTCGCCCGGCAGGCGGCCCTGGGGCCCGGGAAGCTGCCAAGCCCGGGCCGCGGGGCGAGCTGCAGGGAGCGGTCGCCAGTGAGCGGGCCGCAGGCACTCTGGGAACAAGGCAATGTACCCACATGGTTATGACGGTGTCCTCCATCATTATTTAACGTGGTTGCTTTTCTGCCTGTGTGTTTAATTCACAATTCTACAACAAACGGTAAGCCTCTCCGGGCACCTCGGAGAAGCGCGCTCCACCCGCCCTCCCACTGTCGGCACCTCAACCTGCAAGCCCCGGGCCGCTCGGCGTGAAGGTGCACAGGACCGCGAGGGCCAGGGAGCGGGTGAGACGCGAGGCCGCCGCTCGGCCCCGGCACAGCGCCACGCGGCCGGGTGGGGCGCAGACACGGGCGCAGGCGGGAGGAGGCCGCTGCAGGCCGCCAGAACGGCAGCCCGCTGCACCCGGTCTCCCGTCAGAGGCTCGGGCTGGGTCAGCAGAAGGCCGCTGCCTGGAAGTCGGTGGTGCCCGGCAGGGAGGGAGACGGGGCGGGCAGAACAACAGCTCAGCGCAGGGCCCCTGGAGGAAAGGCTGGAGCGGAGAGGGGACCGAGAACAGGGCGCCCACAGAGGTATTCGGAGAAGGAGCAGGCCCAGGAGACGTCAAGACAGAGGCGGGGCCGGGAAGGTCCAGGGAGGCACCAGCGGCCCTGCAGCCCGGGATCCCAGCCACCTCCCACCCCCACCCACCTCCTCAACTCAAGGACCAGGATGTTCCGGGCCACCTGGGAGCAGGCCCTGACGGTGACCAGTCCCTGCTATCCGCAACTCTCCCCTCCCAGCAACACCAGTGGGCCCTGGCCCCAGCCCCTGGGGCGCCCTGGGGCGCCCTGGGACGCCACCCCCGCCACCCCAGGACACAGCCGGGCTACGCACTCAGCCTGCCTGCCCTGCCGGCCGTGTGCCTCAGTCTCCCGCCTGTCAGAGGGGCCAGGCCGAGAGCCTGGTGGTGGCCACACACGCGGCATGCGGCCCGCTCTCCACTGGCGGCCCTGGCCACCACTGCGTCCCTGCCTGCTTGTCTTGAGGCCGGGTGGAGGACCCTGTGCCCGTCTGCCCAGCCTTGAGGCAGCTCGGGAAGTCTGAGCTGCAGGCATCTCCACAGAACTCCCGTCACATTACGGGCAAGAACCTGGGGACGTCAGAAGTGAGGGGTGACACCCAGCCACATCTGAAGTCATCCTGTTGACAACCTCTGTCCCAAGCCAGGAAAACCAGGCAGAAGGGATGAGCTTACTTGCCATGGCAAAGCCCAGACGAAGGGCTGGTGCCATCTGACGCTGGGGCAGCAAGGCCTCGTTCCTCGGCTCGCTTTTGAGATGCTTGTCCGCTGGCCGTGAAGCCTGGGTGAGCCACCCGCAGAGACCTGCAGGCTTCACCAGGAGCCTGCTCACACCCAGCACCCCTGCCGGGCTAACCATGCATGTGACCCCTCGCCCAGTCGGGGGCGGCCCAGAAGCCCGGAGCCTGCCGAGCCCGGCCAGATCCCTGAGCTGCAGTCCCGTGCCTGCAGCCACAGCAAGCGAACACCCGGACGTCTGTGAACCATGCTGGCGTGCCCTGGCCCGGCCACGGTCTCACGCACCACCCCATGGTGGCACATTCTGGGGGCCCTGCTGACCCCAGTAAGCTGGCAGCCCCCCCTTCCCCCAGCCTCCTCTGTCGGGCCGCCAGGCTCTCTTCCACACCGCCACCGCGGTGGCCCTCTGACCGGCAGTGAGGGTGCAGCTCAGGGGGCTGGATGCCGTGGGCCCCAGAGCAGGCTGCCTGAGGGGCGGTGCTGGTCCTGCCCCTGAAGCAGAGTGACTGAGTACTCTGTACCTCGGTTTCCTCGTCTATAAGCTGGGCTAACAGCTCCTTCCTCAGGGGGCTGCAGTGAGGACTGGGGTGAATGAGTTACATTTTCTTGAGGCTGAAATCTGCCTGCAGGTAGGACTGAGTCTAGGCCACAAACACCCAAAGGAAACGAGTGGGGGGGTCTGTCTGTCCCCCGACCCACCTACCCAGCGCGCAGGTAAGGCACAGGGCACACTCAGCCCTGGGCCAGGAAGCTGCCCCTCCCAAGGGGAGTGGGGCTTCCAGAGACACCCGAGGGCCCAGCCTCTGGCCCCGCCTGGAGCCAGCCTCCCAGGCGGCTGCCCTCAGGCTCCTGAGCAGCTGCCTGCGCTGTGGCCGCCCCGTCAGACCCAGACGCCTACCCCAGCCAGCCCTGGCTCCCACTGCTCAGAACTGGCACTTTCCTATGTCCTCTCTCGTTCAAGATTCCTGACCTTTTAATGCTCTGGGGCCAGCTCGTCTGTAAAATACCGATTGCTGACACTTTCCTTTGGAGAGCCATTAGTGAGTCAATAAGGCGTTCTCAGACAAGGGAGACAAGACGGGTCCGCCTCAGGATGACTCGCCAGCCCGCACCGAGACTCACTGACCATCTGGACAGATCGATGCCCTCTGAGGAAATGACAGAGCCATGAAAACACGACCCCATATCCTGCGGGGGACAGCGGGAGACTCAACCCTCACCGCAGGCAACACACGCCGGCCCTGGACACAGAGGGCCCAAAAGGCTGGCGTGGATACCGCAACGGCGTTCTCAGCCAGCAAGCTGGCTGCCTGACCACCCCCCTGACCACAGCTCTGCTCCCCTGAGGCACCAGGACACCAAGTGCCGCCACGGCCATCCTGAGAGCCAGGCTCAGTACCGGCAGAGTGACCATAAGTGACGCTTCCCTCTGGGTCAGACCCGGGAAGCTGTCTGTCCAAACCCTGAGTCGGGTGACCATAAGGGACCCACACACCAGGCCAGCCCCGGCAGGGTGGTCTCTCGGGGACCTGGGACGTCCTGCTCCATCTCGATCTAAACCTTAACCGAGTGAGCCACAGGAGCACGCGGTGAGAAAAAGTGGACCAGGAGATGACCCGTCCATCAGGCCAGGCCCTGGCACCGGGTGGGGGCGTTAAGTGCGCCCGCTCTGCCCCCCCGCAAGCACAGGCCCCTGCCCAGAGCCCGGGGCTTGGCGGTTCCCCCGCCAGGGGTCCGAGCCTTTGCCTCCCCCGCCTCCTGGAATGCCGCTTCCGACTGCACTGCCAGTGCGTCCCAGAATGTCTGTCTTCTCCCGGTCAACTCAGCCCTGGTAACCCCAGGGCCACTCCCAGCCGCTGTCCCCTGGCGCGCTCCGCTGGAAGATGCCTCCCTTGGGTCAGACCCAGCTAAGTCTGTCCAAGCCCTGAGACGGGTGAGCGAGGCCTCCTGCTCCTGTCCCACGTGTGAGACCTCACCCTAACGAGCCCCCCTGTCGCAGGGACAGCATGTCCAGCGCTGCTTCCAAGCCCAGCCCGGCCGGGGCCGCCCAGGGCCCCACCACGCAGCAGGACCCGGACCGGGGTGAGCTGGCTGCCGGCAGTTACCTTCTGGTAACCTCGCCAGGCCCTGAGCCTATTCGGTACTCTGTTCGCGTCTGTGACGAGGGGGGCGACAGCGCACTCCACCAGGCGCCGAGTGCCGCCGGCCAACCACTGTCCGTCACCCCCCCACACCCCGTTCAGAGCCCAGCGCCATCTTCTGGGGCCAGCCGGGACGCACACCGGCCGCTTCTCTGCAGCTCAGTCCTCCCCCAGGAAGGGGGCACACACAGCCACTCTGGAGCTGATCTCCGGTCTCGCCCCCCTGGAGTCCGACAAGCCACCAAGTGAGAAGGAATGGAGGCAGGTGACAGCCTCCCGGGACAAGGGCCAGGGAGGGCCCCGGAGGCCACCTGGCTGGCTGGTGACTGCTCCCAGGCCAAGAGGGAGCCCCAGAACCCCAGAAGGGGGCAGGCACTGTGGGGGCCGGGGGTGAACCCCGCTCCGTGTGAATCTCGAGGGTTCACTTTCAAGCCAGGGTGCAGAGAACCCCGCCTCCCGAGGCAGCAGCGTGAGGCTTTCGGAGCGATGAGGTCTGCCTGGGGGGGCCAGGGCCCTGGCGTGGCACCGGTCACTGGCCCATCCACCTTTCACCTCGCGCGTCAGGGCCGACATCGCTCATCTGGGGAAAAAAGCCCAGAATCAGAGGATCTTGTGATGTTTGCCCCCCGCCACCACAGGAAGCACCCTGCACCCTACATCCAGTAGGGACCCCGGCAGCTGAGAACCCCAATCTGCAATACAAAAAGACAGCCAGGGACACTGGACAACGAGGAGAACCTCTGATACCAAGGTCAAGGACCAAAGCAAACCAACAGAGCAACTCGGAGAGAGAGTAAGCTGAGGACCGAGAAAACTCGGCAGCATCCCCGAGTCAGCGCGGATCCTCTCCGATACCAGCAACCTGGCTCTCAACTAAAGCGCTCCTGACATTCTACAACATGATGAAAGAATGAAACCTTCAGTAGAAAAGCTTCAAAAGGCAAAAAACTTTTAAGAGAAAGGAGCAAATCTCTTAGGGAGCAGAAAGAAAAGAGCCAGGAGCTGCAAAGCACACTGGAGGCTCGTCCAGAAGACCCTCCCCACAGGATTCCCGGAGGGGCGACGGCAGAGACCGTGCAAGAAAAATACCCCAGGACATCAGAACTCAGTCTCCACCCGACAGGGCCGGGCACGAAGGCTACCCCACCTCCCGGGTGGCTTCAGGGCAAAGGCGAGATCCAGAGGCGAGGGTCACACACAGACATCAGGACCAAGGCCACGCAGCTGTCCAGAAACAGCACTGAGCCAAAGCTTGGGCGCGCGGCCTGGCATCACC